TTACATTGTGGTTAATACATAAAGGGACTTAATAATCACGCGATTATAACGTTAGGGAAATATTTTGATGTATTCCAGCTTAGTCGTTGTCACTCGTGGTCATTCGTGCTCACTTGATGCTGATGGGTAAGCGGTTTCATTGAGTTTTAATCACTCCAGTTTATAAGTAATTGAACTTTGAAATCGGAAAGTACCGATCAAAAATACATAGAGTCCTCGAAAATCTTCCTTAGTGAGAAGTTGGATTTAAACGCGCTCACCATACAACATTGGTGAAAGCAGCTGAATGGGTTTGAAAAAACTTGCTAACGACGAATGCAACAGTTCTCTTACTGATTCCTAGCCATAAAGTTACTATTTCTCACTTAAATCGAATTGGCAGACAACTTCAGCCGGTCAAATTGGCAGCCGGCGAATGGGCAGTGAATTGGCAGACAACTTCAGAATATCAGACATAAGACTGTACATTTTGGATGTCCATATATTCACCCTCTTTCTCAAAGGGTGTATGCTCAAAATTTCCAATAACATATTATTCTAAAATAAGCAATAATCAATATCATACTCACATTTAAAGGGAATCGAAGAGACTGGAGGAAACTACATATTTCTCCACGTGCTCTGCCAGCTGAACCTATATTCATGTATCAAAGCAAATCCCAGTTGCTGACAGTCCATAGACATTATTTTGATTCGTGATTAAAAACAAGCTCTACATGTATAGACGACATGTAGTAACTTTTACAGAATAATAAAGCGCCTCAACTTCGCAGTATTCGCGGTATTTGAAGGGGCGCCGAAATTTAAAACAACTGAACAACGCTTTGTTTATTTCAGTAACCACGTGGTTTCAGCACGTGACCACAGCGGGTTATGGCAAGATCTTTCCGCGCGTAAAAAACACGTGTAGCTGAATAAGTTTACGCGCTGTATATTTTCTTGAGCTTAATAGTAAAAAANAGCGGTTTCATTGAGTTTTAATCACTCCAGTTTATAAGTAATTGAACTTTGAAATCGGAAAGTACCGATCAAAAATACATAGAGTCCTCGAAAATCTTCCTTAGTGAGAAGTTGGATTTAAACGCGCTCACCATACAACATTGGTGAAAGCAGCTGAATGGGTTTGAAAAAACTTGCTAACGACGAATGCAACAGTTCTCTTACTGATTCCTAGCCATAAAGTTACTATTTCTCACTTAAATCGAATTGGCAGACAACTTCAGCCGGTCAAATTGGCAGCCGGCGAATGGGCAGTGAATTGGCAGACAACTTCAGAATATCAGACATAAGACTGTACATTTTGGATGTCCATATATTCACCCTCTTTCTCAAAGGGTGTATGCTCAAAATTTCCAATAACATATTATTCTAAAATAAGCAATAATCAATATCATACTCAAATTTAAAGGGAATCGAAGAGACTGGAGGAAACTACATATTTCTCCACGTGCTCTGCCAGCTGAACCTATATTCATGTATCAAAGCAAATCCCAGTTGCTGACAGTCCATAGACATTATTTTGATTCGTGATTAAAAACAAGCTCTACATGTATAGACGACATGTAGTAACTTTTACAGAATAATAAAGCGCCTCAACTTCGCAGTATTCGCGGTATTTGAAGGGGCGCCGAAATTTAAAACAACTGAACAACGCTTTGTTTATTTCAGTAACCACGTGGTTTCAGCACGTGACCACAGCGGGTTATGGCAAGATCTTTCCGCGCGTAAAAAACACGTGTAGCTGAATAAGTTTACGCGCTGTATATTTTCTTGAGCTTAATAGTAAAAAATTATTTAGAGTAGGGCTTTATTTTTTCGGATAAAACTTTGCAGTGCCGCAGCAGAAACGCATCCGATTATTGTCAATAGCTTTTCTTCCCCTTTTTTTATTTTTCTTTTCCTTCTGGGATTATCGGACCCAAATTACCTGTCTTTCGGTCCTTAATTATGTTTATGAGCTATTTGATTTGGTTTTTGATGGTCAATATTTAAATCAGCGGAAAAAACGACATGAATAAATTTTCTTAGTTACAAAATTTCTCCCAGTGGTTTCCGCGATGAATCAAATAGCTCGCAACACCTTTATTTAAAGGTATTTGTGCCTCTTTCGTAAGGAAGCTCAGAAAGATTGTAATAGTAATAATAACAATAATTAATAATAATAACAATTTATTTAGTTAGCGCTTATTCATTTAAGAGTCCGTAAGCGCTTCACATTAATAAAAAATTGAAAATTGCCTTAAAAAAATAAAAATATAACTTAAATAAAATCTCAAAATCTTGGGACCAATTTCTAACATAAGTTCATAAAAAGGTTTGTCTTAGTTTTACTCAACAATAAGCCTTTTTGAAAAGAAACGTCTTCATGGCCTTCTTAAAACTACCTACAGAATCGCAGTTCCCGTGGAAGGGCATTCCAAAGCTGAGGGGCACATAAGGAAAATGCCCTGAACCCGTACGATTTTAAATTATAAGATTGTGTCTTCAGAAGCTGCATGTTTCCTGATTTAAGGCTACGGCAAGGTCTATAAAGGTCTAATAGATCCTGGAGATAAACAGGTGCCATTCACCACTTTATATGTAAATAACAAGATCTTAATTTCTACGCGCTGCTCAACTGGCAACCAATGAAGCTCCATAAGTACTGGCGATATATGTGATCATGCTTCCTAGACAATGTAACTAGCCTAGCGGCAGAGTTCAACACGTATTGCACGCGCTGGATCTTATACTTAGGAAGGCCATACAAGAGTGCGTTAGTTATCTAACTTAATATAATGTGTTCTGACTTGTAATCGGCGTTCGGGCTCTTACCATAGAACGTAACCTGCTCCATATAAGCCCTGGGCTTCTTAAAGGCTGATTTAGACGGTACGAGTTTTGTCTACGACTATCGCGGGGGCGCGACTAACATACGTCATGACTTTCGACCACCCACACGCGCACAATTTTCACTTGCGACATCCACCGCTGTGTCGCACGAATATCGTTGGTCTAATTTACTCGACACGATCGTTAAGTCATGACGCATGCTGGTCGCGCACGATAGTCTTCGTAAGCACTGAAAAATCGTATCGTCTAAATCGGCCTTCAGGTGGTTCAAGAGGGCTTATAAACGGATGGGTTCACTCCGAGAGAGTTCATAAATGGAATCGTAAAAACGCCTCGAATATAAGCTGAAGCCGTGCTGACCAAAATATGAATTTATTTATTGTGAACTGGTTTTCATAATAAAGCTTCAAAACTCTAAATCGAATTTACCTCAATACAACTTGAGGGGGGCGAGGGGGCTTAAATACCCTTGGGGAGGGGGGGGGGGCGTTTTTCTGAATCGGATTTCATTTCTGTTTACAGAACTTGAGAAGCTTATAAGAGGGTGTGTAGGAGAGGCCCGTTTTAGTGGCACTGATATTGGACGTATTTGTCGTAGCCTATCGATCCATCAAAGTCACAGACACACGGATGACGTTACGATCAAATGTTATTATCCAGCATGGCGCGTTGTTTTGAAACGTTTGCGAAATTATTATTGCTAGTAAAGGGGTTGTTTACAGGTCAGAGAAAGGAGAAATAGAGACGAAAAGTGCCTTGACCACTTGAAAACACCCTAACTTAAACGAATGTGCTAAACAGCTGTCCATGTAAACGCTTCGACGGACTCTCAGTTTCGAAAAAAATAAAAAGCGACTTTTCTACTACTTAGGTAAGGGTAAGTGGAAGTCTTTGAAACAGTTCAGGGTAAGCTTTATGTCTAAAAAGACGATAAAGAAGAAGGGGGAAAGAGGGAAAAATGCCTTTATTGGCACAAATTCTCGAACAGTCAAGTGAAACGGAGATAAGCCTGTTGTTTGTCTTTCCTGCTTTTGTATAAAACAAATAAGTTCCATCAGGAGGTTCCATGCATGTTGTCGTGTGTCTCTTCAGCAGGTAAGAAAACCATTAACACACACGAGCGTGCCTCGTGTGCCAATTTTTTTGTTCTTACCACATCTGACATCATACTTGATCTATATCAAAATTAATAGTCTATAGTATGTTGTTGGATGGCTAAGAATATTTTCTTGTGTAGAAGAACGTTTCCCCGGCTTTAAAGAATTTGATTCAGAACTTTTATACACAACTTAAAAGACTTCAGAGACATATTCAGTTGGTTAAGACTGCTTTTATTTCTTAGTTTTAAGTTTTGTCGTTCCACACATTTAAGGTTAACTTTGCCAGGCTATTCACGAGATAAAATTTGAGTTGAAGCTAAATAAATAATAGTGCAATAATTGCAAGTAAAGGACAGGCGTTTCATAGCTTCCCATTACAAGTAATAATACATAACTCTAAAGATTCTATTTTATATTGAACTTATACTAATAAATCCAAAATTAGACTTATGACCTCAAACCAAATGGATTCCGCAACACCGGATAAAGATGGATATAGAACTGGTCTTCACATTTCACCCAAGTGTGGACCAAATGGATTCACGATCGATCCATTGTTGGTTATTTTAAAAACGCAAAATCTGTTTTAGGATTGACGATGTTCACATTTGGATTTTAAGCAAATTCTTCTCTTGTACAAACTATGGTCATTTAAATTCAAACAATCAGGGGTTACTTTCTATGATGCGTTTCTAAATCTTTTTAATTCTACTACACTCTTTGGGGTATTTCGTTCAAAGCAAAAAGCTGCTATAGATTTGCACGCTTAAATCGACCATAAGTCCTAAACCTACATGATCTAGAACGGCTTTAACCGCGAGCAATGTACTTTTGTAAGGGACGACTCTTAAATTAGACTATGTTTTTAACCAAACCAACTGACGTAATGTTATGAACTGGAAAGTTTTTTCCTCAGACCACAGCCTTAAGTTGGTAGTTCTACTCTAAACGGCGATTGAAATCAAAGAAACAGCTCTGTGCATGCCGAGCCCGCTGTCGCCGCCTATTTCGCCCGTTTTGGGCTCTTGCACTTGATAGTACGCTTTAGTCTCGTCCAACTGTTTCAGGTCAAGGTACTTGCTCAGTCATGGTTCCTTCCAGCCTTCCAACCAGCTCCTGAAAACTTGGTCGTTCATCCGGGTTCTGTTTCGAGCACTCCATCATAAAAGCGTAACTAACAGATAACAAAAACACATTTTTTAACCCTCAGATGAACAAGGATGGGATGGATACTAAACCCATAGTGTTTATTTATTTTTTTAGGTTTTTGTTTAAAGCCCGTTTTTACACAATTGGGTGGCAATCCGTTCTATTTAGCAAACCTGATACCCGTTTCTAGCCAATTTTTCTTTTTCCCGAAATTTGGACAAGCGGGAGTGAACTGAGGGAGGGTTACAAGGACCTTTTCTGATGAAATCTATTTTGTTAGGTTCTTGGTCAGGTGGGAAGATTATTCCGTCATAAACGGAAAAATATTTTGAATGAACGCGATTTTTTGTTTACTAGTTAATAATATGATGCCTGGGAATTCTCATGGCTTACAAGTTGTCCGAGCACAGGTCAGGTTTTTCCAATCGGTGCCCCGTTCTGAGGAGACTCATGACCTCAGCGTTGTTAAGCAGTGGGTAGGGTGAACCTCCTGCAATAAAATTGAAAAGGGTCTCTCGATTATGATTGTACTTTTAACACTAATTCCGAGTCTCGAGTAATTTTTTTTTTTTAATGAATAAGCAGAGATCCAAGGACTAAACTGATTATTAGATACTGATAGAGACTATTCTGCCGCTTTAATGGACGATTACGATGCTTACCTTCTTAGGCTTGCAAAAGTTACAGAACTTTCATCTTGAAAAGTCACTACATTTAACTGAAAGTTTATGAATAATGAAGGAACCTGTTCAGTTTCCTTACCAGCCCCTTTCAGGTAGAATTTCTTCAAAACACTCGCCAGTTCTTCTGCGGTTGTAGTTTATTGGCCCAATACGCTTTTTTATCGTTGCACGATTGAACTCAACCATCCTGGCCTGGGTTACAGGACAATTGATGAATTACGTTCAATGCGAAAAAGCTGTACTGACCATTTTCTTGTTTGATTATACACTTGTTAAGCTAGACGGAGCATAAGTAGCCTGAAGGTACTGAGAGGTTCTAGTAGTTGGGGAGAGCAAAGGAGGGTATAAAGCACGAGGAGAATGGGGAAAAACGCACCGCTCGGTCCCCAACCCCTCCCTCCCTTTCTAAAGAAAAAGCTACGCAGGCGAAAAAGTAAGTAGAAGTTGGAATTTTACCTAAAGTTGCAATTTCCCACATAACGATTCCATATGACCACCTAAAATAAAAAAACAAAACCAAAAGATAAAACAAAAGAACATAAATAAGCCTAAAATGTTGCCTTCTGCGCATAAAAATTAGAGCATGAAAAACGCTTCCTAAGACTAGTGAGTATTGCTGCTGTATATGGTTTAGGACAAATCATGGCCTACATTTAATGACAATAGTTTTATTTTGTTTAAATTTTGTCTAGAGGGAATGAAATCGAATGAAACCATAAAGGGTTGATCTTGACAAATTTTATAATGAGAGAAATGTTTTGTAACATTTTCTTTTGAAAA